GACTACTACAAGAACAAGCAAGTTGCTCACCCAGGAGACATCAAGGCAAGTGGTTGGGTCCCCTCAGGGCAAACCCCCTTCCAAGACTAAGACTCAGTGGGAATACACACTCTGATTGGTGACCTCCTTTGTCGCTGATAAGGGGAAGTGAGGGAAAAACAGCAATGAAGCTGTGAACTAAGCCCTATAACATTCAATAGACTCCTGTGTACCTGGGTGGAGACCTGGTTGACCAGCAGTGTGGCAAGACATGGGGACTCTTGGGCCCAGAGTCAGTGACATAGCCACAGAGGACTAGAGTGGAGAGTGAAGTGTCTAGCTGATAAGAAGAGAGGACATATGCATAAGAACACCCACACTTGCAGATAATACCCACTGGACCTAGCTTTAATGACTGGATGATCAGAACTCAACTAGAAGAAGAAAGAAGAGGTAAAAAGGAGTAATCTGATACAATTTGATGAACTTGACCTACACCTATGGATGCAGTAGCTCAAAAGAGGGAACAAATCTTTACAGTGAAGATCATCCCCACAGAGTAGACAGGGATGGGCAACTTGGACATTGGCTACCCTGGTGTGGCACTGTGGGTTAATGCGTCAGACTGCAAAGCAGTTTGAACTGCAAGATCAGTGGTTCAAGCTCACCAGCTGCTCCTTGGAAACCCTATACCGGTCGCTATGGGTCAGAATCGACTCAACGGCACTCAATAACAACAACAACAACAAAGGCAAGAAGTGACTGGCTTACAAGCTTTCAAGAGGGAGCCTAGATCCAGAGGGCATGGAGGAAAGTAGAATCTCCACTGAATAGTATCCAATCTGTCTGGGCGGGGCTGATGAAAGGAGATTCAGATAGGTCTCTTGTGATACAATAGTGAATAATTGTTATCATGACTGATTGTGAGGGTTGGAAATGGAAAGGTAGACATTTTGTAGCAAAAGGAGGAGAGTGATTGACTTTGCAGTCTAGGAGCAGAGGTTACTGGGACCATCAAGGGAGAAGAGCAAAGAGCGGGACCCTACCCTGAGAAGCAGTGATGCCAGAGATGGAGGCAGAGACGATGACGTGGAGAGATGGAGCAGCTGGGGACTTTAGACCCAGAGAGGTAGAGGGGCTGTGTTCTGACGACTGGGGGACAGGCTTGCAGGGTATACCCTTTGGTTGGTTGATGATGCCTGGAGGCGGTTGTAACCATGTAAACTATCACATAATTTACAATAAAACATTAAAAAAAAAGCTCCATATCATCAGCCAAAACAAGGCCATGGGTCAACTGGAGCAGACTAAGATTTACAGTCTCAGAAACCCTGTACAGGGTCGCTATGAGTTGGAACCGACTCCACAGCACATAACCACCACCACCAGAAAGAAAAGATGCTACATGAGTTTTTGAACAGTTCCTCCCAGTTTTGTGTTTATCTCCTGGTGACCTTATAACAAACAGTGCACTGACATTGGCCTAAGAACCACAGTTTGAGAAGCTCTACTCTAACTCAGGCAGTCTGTTTTAGCTAATTGCTGTCAGCAGCTATAAAGGCTGGGAGAACCCCTGCTCTGCATGGTCTTTGCCCTTTACAAAAGGAAAGAAGCAAACATATAAAAAACTGAGTACATGTGATGTTTAGGAGACTGAAGCTCAGGTAAGTTCCAGTTATTAATTTACAGTTGCTTGCAGAGTATTTAGACATAGTAGTATAAAGCAAGGTTTTAATTAATTAATCAATTATTTTTTTTAACAGATACAAAGTATCTCAAATAACTTAGTGGACATTTCTGAGGAAGCCCAGTTTTTAACATCTGATGCTAATAGTTTAACTGCTGATAACATCACTGCTGCTACTAATGTGGTCGGACAGATCTTCAACTCATCCAGAGATGATACATCTGAGGTAAAACTCAAAACTTATGATAGGGGGCGGGGGGAGGGATGTCATTTAAAACAAAAGAAAGCTCTCTGTATCCAGCATTTACTATGATACAGAATTGGATTGGTTTAGGTTGCTTAAAATGTTTTTGGTTTTTACTCTTTCTGAGAAATTCTCAAAAGGAATAAAGAGGGGCTCCTGGTTCAAATATTCACTTCTGGGATAGTCATTATGGACATTATCATGTTAAATCATAGAACAAATAAGTCTGTTTCACTTTATTAATTAGCTTACTAATCACATTTAACTTCATCAATTCTGTTCTATTCCAAGTAACTAATGTTTCAAGGAACTTACTTTAGCATTGTTGTCGTTGTTGAGTGCCATTGAGTCAGTTCCAATTCATAGCAACCCTGTATAGGACATTTGAGGAGCAACTGATAGATTTGAACCTCTAATCTTTCTGTTAGCAATCTAGTGCTTATCCATCAGTGCCACACATGTACTATACTCTGGTACCTGAAAATAAGGACAATAGTCAACATATACCAATCAGTACTGATTGGGATATGGTTAAGTATGGCTATAAGTCACCAGTGCAGACTGACCCAGTGTCTACCAATTGAATATCAGCATGGTCTAAAAATATTGACTCCTTTCTTCCATTCCCCTTAAATGTTTTATCTCAAAAACATTTTATGTTACCCAGTGATGCCAGTAGGGCTCGTGCCACCCAGTGTGGTCATTCATGGTGTCACTTTCCCATGGACTTCCTCCAGTACCATACAGAATTCTTAATAAAGCTTATTATCAATTTTAACTATAGAATACTATGTAATAATATGGTTATAGGTTGCTTAAGTGTAATATTTCTTAGATTATATGAATATTAATACATAAATACTTTGTAAAATCTTTCTATATCAAATTACAGCATCATTGTTGTTGTTAAGTGCCATCAAGTCAGTTCCTATTCATAGAGACCCCGTATAGGGTTTCCAAAAATTATCTGGTGTATTTAGCGCTATTGATTTTGTGGGTAGAAGCCTACAGTGCCACACCAGGATTATTAGTAATTGAGTGAGATTTTTTTTCTCTTCTTTTCTGTAGTTGCTACTTCATTTTCAAAAAAGTTATTAATATTGGAGTTGCATTCATCATCAAAAAGAACATTTTAATGTCTGTCTTGAAGCGTAAATCTGTCTATACTGTGATACTATCCAGTGCCTAAAAGGAAGACCAGTTAATACCATTGTTATTTAAATTTACGCACTAACCACAAAAAGCCAGGGATGATGAAATTGAAGAACTCTACCAACTTCTTCAGTCTAAAACTGATCAAGCATGCAATCACGATGTATTGATAATTACTGGTGATTGGAATGCAAAGATTGTAAACAAGAAGGATCAGTAGGTAGAAAACATAACCTTGATGTGATATAAATGATGCTGCAGCTCACATGATAGAATTTAGCAACACCAATGACTTCTTCATTGCAAATATCTTTTAAACAACATAAAAGATTATTATGCACATGGACCTCACAAGATGGAATACACAGAAATCAAATTAACTATATCTGTGGAAAGAGATAGTGATAAAGTTGTATATCATCAACCAAAACAAGGCCAGTAGCAGACTGTGGAACAGACCATCAACTGCTTATATTCACATTAATAATGCGGTTACTGAGAGACAACTTGACATTGTGGACATTGGATACCCAAGGAGACGATGCTGAAGCAGGAGAAGGAGGGGAAACTTAACCGACCTTCTAACTTTTGTCTGCCTCATTCTAAAATTTACACAGTGGACCATTTGTCATCCATGCTGTCCCCCAAATAGTTTTTTTGTTTACGATTTATGATAGAAGATTTACTTCTATTTGAATTTCTATATTTCCCATGTGGTTTTTATGTTTAATATTAGGGGAGTAGAGCCAGTTAACATTTAGCGAGTTATCTGTTTTCATCTTGCAATGGCCAATATGGGGATGTGGAAATTTTATGCAAGTTATAAATGTTTGGCTTAGTACCTTTGGTACATTGTGGTTTATCAAAGGCCAGTGTTAAAACTGCTTCCATGTCCAAGCAAAGAAAACTGCCTACATATTGGTTTGTCCTGATTGGGGGGGGGGGGGGGGTGATAAAAGGGATAATAGGTTCCATTCACTGGTATAGTTTTTGTGGGTATTTTAAGGTTTGGAGCACTTACAAGGCTGTGGTAGAAACAGATACATGCTGTTCAACACATAATATCTGTGGAATATCTATGGAATACACAATCTCAATGTGCATACCTTTACTACAGCTGCAGAAGTATTCCTTTAGACAAAGTCTGCGGGGGTTCCTGCCCTCCGTGGGGTTCATGGGACACGCGGAAACATCCGGTGAAGAAATGAATGAATACAATCGAAAGGCTTCCACTTGTTGTGCTGTCCGGCTATGCTCTTTAGCTTCTGCCCTTGCTTCTGCTTCCTGTTCTCTCTGCTGTCTGCCCTCTGCTCTCTGCTGTCTGCCCTCTGCCTTCTCCCTCCTGCTCTCTTCTTCTTCCTCATAGCTCTGCTTGCTCTTGCCTCTACCTCCTCCTGCCGCTTCTGCCAGCCCCTTCTGCTTCCTTCTCCTTTCTTTCTTCTTCCTTCTGCTAGCCCAGCCTAGCAAGTCTTTATTTTTTATACTTAAAATTACACAGTACATGCATTGACACTTTTATCATTTCTTGAATTATTACACAGTTAGTCACAACATTCTTGCACCTGGTCATTAGACAACTTTGACAAAAATACTCTATGATGTTCAGACTGACCTTCATGTTCTTTCCCAGTATGAGATAAAACTGTTTCTTCTTGTTTCTACTAAAGGATTATAAACTTTCTATCCTACATAATGTGCTATTATTTTTATAATAAAGATATTCATTAAATCACTTGGAAGCTATGTGGCATAAAGCTCAACTTGGCTACTTGCTGCAAGAAGTATAGATTATTAAGTCAAAACTATTCTTCACTTAAGTTCATTATTGTCTGCTTGTTTACACAGGTGTCTATATGTAGGGGTTTGAGAATTCTAGCTAGTGACTGATTGTGGTGAGGCCTATGGGGGTAGGTCAGCTTGATTCTAATAAGCTATCTGTTTTTGTGGCCTCACAAATGCAGTTATTTAGGTTTTCTATGAGAATGAGTAATTTACACAATTTCTCTTTGTATTCAATCCACCAAGGCTGAAAGCAATTGTTGCTAAGCTAGTTTTTCCTAATTCATAGTGGAAAGCTGTGAATATTGCCAAATTATATATATATTTATAAGTAAAATTAAGATTACTCTATAGAGAAGGTAGAAAGAAACTTCTGAGAGCTATCTGTTTGGCCAGACTACTATACTATTTACTGGACTGTGTCAAGCAGTAAATCGAAGCTGTCCTCTACCCTCATCGGCCGCTCCCAGCAAAAGTTGTCACCCAATTTACTCTGGAGAAGCGCAGAAATGGTTCACATTTCATTATTTGTAAAGTTACCTGCTGTTTGCTTTCATTATTTTTACTATACTCATTTGTATTTAAATGTCTTAGGAAACCTAAGAACAAATGTGCAAGATGCCGTAAAAATGAGTTGCTTGATATTCATTACTTCATGTGTATCAAGTGCAGCAGTAAAAAAAAAAAAAAAATGTATTTAACTTTTTTAGGTTTTTTGCTTTTGTGATTTTTTTTTAATACTTGCCTAACATGCACGTGCTGTAAACTAGTTAATAGGGAAATAACTTGAGATGATGGCTAGCTTTGTTTAATGTCTTATGAAATTTTCATGAACAATCCAAGCATAATTGTTAAGAACATGTATTAAGTTGATGTAAGTGGAATAAAAGTTTTATGAATGGAAAAAAAAAAAAAATCAGTTCAGACTGAGCTGGAGAAAAGTAAAACGATTCCACAAGAGCCAAAAATATGACTTTGAGCATATCACACCTGAATTTAGAAGTCATCTGAAGGACAGATTTGATGCATTAGACATTAATGACCAAAAACCAGAAGAGTTATGAGATGACATCAAGGATATCATACATGAAGAAAGCAAAAGTTCATTAAGAACACAAGGAAGAAAGAATAGACCCAAATGGGTGTCAGAAGAGACTCTGAACTTGCCTTCCAGTAAATGCTAAAGTAAATGGAAGAGATGAGGAGGTAAAAGAGCTAAGGAGAAGTTTTCAAAGGGCAGCTTGAGAAGATAAAGTCAAATATTATAATGAAATGTACAAAGACCTGAAGTTAGAAAACCAAAAATGAAGAATACACTCAGCATTTTTTGAGCTGAATGAACTAAGGGAAAACTTCAAGCCTTGACTCACAATACTGGCAAATATTGAATGATGAAGAAAACATCAAAAGAAGATCCAAGGAATACACAGTACTGTACCAAAAAGAAATGGTCAATGTTAAACCATTTCAAAAGGTTGCATATGATCAAAAGCCAAATGGTATTGAAGGAAGAAGTCCAGTGTACACAGAAGGCATAGGCAAAGAACAAGGCTCCAGGAATTGGTAGACTACAAATTGAAATCTTTCAACAAATTGATGTGGTATTAGAGGCCCTCACTCATCTATGATAAGAAATTTGGAAGACAGCTGCATGGCCAACTGATTGGAAGAGACTCATATTTATGCCTATTCCAAAGAAAAGTGACCCAACAGACTGAGGAAATCATTAGACAGTATCATTAATATCACATGCAAGTAAAATTATGCTAAAAATAATCTAAAAACGACTGCAATAGTACATTGACAGGAAACGCCAGAAGATCAAACCTGATTCAGAATGACATATATCATTTCTGATGTAAGATGGACTTGGTTGAAAGCAGAGAATAGCAGAAAGATGTTTACCTGTGCTTTATTGACTATGCAAAGGCTTTTGACTGAATGGATCATTGATAAGCTAGGGACAACACTGTAGAGAATGAGTATTGTGGAACACTTAATCATGCTCATGAGAAACCTGTACACAGACCAAGAGACATTCATTCAACTAG